TTTCGATCCCCAGCGCAGTGACAGCAGAGTCTCTAGTCCCAAGATACGAAGAGCCCCAGGCTTTTCATAATCTTGGCAGGAAGCCAGGGGATCTCTCAACAGATGGGACAGAGTTCAGTAAACACCCAAGGGGCTATTGAGGCCCTAGGAGCTGCCCCTGTGCAATGCACGCCCCTTGTGACAGTCACGGCTGCCTTGCCACCTGGGGCGGGCAGCCCAGGTGGCACCGGAGAGAGGTAAACGCCACCCCGATTTTCTGCAGTGTAACGCCAGGGACTTCCATGGAGTCACAGCTGATTGACAGTGGCAGTGCCGAGAGCAGGAAGGGACCTATGGCAAGGCCTTGTTAAGCTTGCACAGCTAAGCACCAACAAAAAGTCAGAGGAATTTCGTCAGAGAGGAATTTCCCACTCTCCCCACCCCCTTAACGCCCCTGGCTTTAGCCTGGCCTCCTGGAGTTCATTTCTTGCCCCCCCCCACACACACACACCCCTTCCCCAGCCCTCCTGGCTCCAGCACTGTTCCCCACGCTGGTTTTGTGCCAGTTACCCACAGGCTCTATCTTCAGTGCTAGGCCTCAGCCTTAAGCCAAGGTCTGACAAACCCAAGAGTAAAATAACTAATGGCGGGGCGGTGCCCTGGGCACCCACCACACAGGGCTGCCAGCATTGCATAAGGGACTGTTTTCTTAGCCCCCATCTCACCCCTCCCATTAACACCACCACGGAGCACTCACCTACATTCACCAGGGGCATCTCTTGCTGTTTTTTGCAGCACTCAGCAACACCTAATCTTGTACCGAGATGAAATAAGGGACGTTCCTGTAATATGTACCGCCACCTGGCCCTGCCCATCAGCCTTGACTCTGAGCCACAGCCTCAGTGAGGTGTAGGCAGGGACCACCTCCATGGGCCAATCATGCTTGGCTGCTCTGCTGAGATGGCCAGTAGGGGACCTGGGAGGAGGAGGCTGCATTTGCCCCAAGACCCTACCCTGGAGAGGAGGGCAGGGAGAGGCCTCAGTCCCATTCACCAGAGATAAGCATCCACACCACAAAAATCACCCCAACTGGTGCCATCCACCCTCCTCACTCCTCCCAGAGCCAGCGGTGGCCCCGCCCCAAGGCCAGGCAGGCCTTGCTCTGGGTCAGTCCAACACGGCTCAAGGGCAGGTGTTTTAGAAAAGACCCAACCCAGGGGATACAGAGGGAGAGATCGGAGGAGAGATGGGGAGCCACTCCAACCTCGTCTCAGAATGGAGTGCTGAGCTCTGCCGCCTGCCAATCGATCCTCACAGTCCAGTTCAGCCTGTCATTCAGCTTCCCGGTCTGCAGCCCCAGTACCTGGGAGCCTTTCTGCAGGCGGGATGGCACTGTGCTATGGGGAAGCAGTGCCAGAGACTGGGTCCCCCTGACTGATCCCCCGGCCCACTTCTCTGAAGGGGATGGGAGCATTCAGGGCTGCAGCCCAGGGAAGCAGGGTTTGCTGGCTCACCTCCCAGCTGGGCCTGCACTGCAGGGTCAGGTAAATCCTAAGATAGGGCTTGCACACAGCCCCCTCTAGCCCAGTGCTGAGGGCATCACCCCAGAATTTAACCCTGGGCTCCATTCCCCTCAAATATCCTCCTTTGGAACGGGCTACTGGCCCTCGGCTGCTTGCCCCGTGCCAACCTCCCTGCAGGTTCCAGACCCAAGGGGAACCAGCAGCAGGGGACGGCAGGATGCGGCCAGAGCACGGTCCAGAGGAGCCCTTCCTGGCAGCGACCCTTCCTAGTAGCGAGGACTCTCAGTGGCCACCTCATAACCCTGGCAGCTGCTCCAGGCCCTGGGGAGAGTCAGAATCCTGCAACCAGTTGCTGGCATGGGACGCTGTGAGTGGATCATTATTTATTACTAAGCTGGCAGAGGCTCTGCCACATACTGCCCCAGCAGGAGCAGCTATTGCTGAGCACAGCAGGCAACCCAGGCTGGAGTTTCAAGAGTGGCTGGTGGCTTTGGGTGCTCAGTACCCACAACTGCTGTTGGAGTCATTGGGAGCGGCAGGTGCCCTGCATAAAGCCTCTAGCCCTGGAGCGAAGGCTTAGCTAATGGGGAGGGTCAGGGTCCAGCAGAGGGCAGCACGCTACACACACTAAGCCTGGCCAGCTCTCTGAACAGAGCTTGTTCATTTCAGCCCTTTCCTGCTTATTCACATTTCTGCAGAAGTAACTGAACAGCAAACAGATCAGGCACCCAGAATACAGGCTAGAATTTTTGGCATAACTGTCAAACCCCATGCCACCCCCAAGACATGGGGCCTATTCTGCCTTTGGGCTGTGGCTTAGTCCCTCAGAGATGGGGTTTATTGTGTGAAGGAAACTCCTATGTCACTAGCTCCTGGTGTTATCTGGGGAGAAGTCCCCACCCCACCTCTCTCTGACCAGCAAAGCTTCTAGCAGAGGTTTTACCTGGCTTCCCTCACTGTACTACCCAAGCACCTCGTAATCTGTAAGGTATTTGTCCTCCCAGCGAGGTGGGGCAGGGCTGGCACACAAGACACTGCCAGACAGCATCCAAGGGGTCACAGCAAGTCCAAGAGAGCAGGGAATTGAACCCTTGTCTCCCAAATGTCAGGCTAGTGCCCTACCCACTGGACCATCCACCCCTGCCGGTTCCAAGGGAACCCTTTTTGGAGGGTTGGCACGAAGTGATTGACTGTCAGCCCTGGGTAACAAAAGCCTCCTGATCCTCCAAACTGGTAAAGGCTGGGCAGCAGCAATGCCAGCTTCTGCCACACAGCCGCGTGCATGCCTCCCTCTGGTTCTCAAGTGACCAACCGTCTCTAGGCAGCTGCAGTTCAGTCTCCTTAGCGCTTCTGCCCCGAAGATGCCAGCTACTGCCAGCCGTGACAGCAGAGCTAACGGTGCCCACTGGGCACTGAACTAACTTCATTTCCCTGCCATTGCAGGCTTCTGGCCCTCGTGTGCCTTGGTCCCTCCTATTCTCTGCCTGTGGCATGTAATAGCTAGTTTCCTAGGGGCTGTGATACTTTGGACTCATTGCAGTGGCTGGGTTTAGTGTGCAGGTGCTGGGGGTGGCCCGGGATATACAGGGGGTCAGACGACACCATCTGATGGTCCCTGCTGGCCTTGGATTCTATGACTATCACTAACTCAACTTCTGACTTGTCATGGGCCAACTAGTCAGTCATTGCAAGATAGTAATTAAAATAAGTCTGGCCTCCTCCTAGCCCTGGGATTATGACCACGCTGGTGCCACCGTGCTGGACAGGGGGTGATGCTGCTGGAAAGCAGCAGGGGAGCGCTCACAGGACGGCATCCTTGTCTCTCTTCAGTTTGCCTCTCCCACTAGATGAGTTTCACAGGGCTGCTACGATCCAACCCTGGGGGACATAATTAACCCTTCGTTGTGGGTTGTGGGTCTCCAGAGAGAGCTACTAGAGGGGATATCATCACACAGGCCATTCATGGAAGGATGGCACCCGCCTGTTTAGCGAATTAACCCTCTCCATGCACCCGGGATGTAGGCCTTAGTCTCACATTAGTGCAGGGAAAGCTGAGACACTGACAGCTCAGGTGTCTTACCTAAGGCTACCCAGGAGTCAGTAACAGAGCAGGGAACAGAACCCAGGGGAACTCCCAGTGCCCTGGCCTCCTCCAATCTCATGAGTGATACATCTGGGGGCAGTTAGGCCATGAAACTTGGGCACCAGACAAAGGGCAAATCTATCAAGTTACATGTTAAAGAAAGATGCAGCACAGCATGGCATTTCACGTACAGGGGCTCTAAAGACATGGAAATATTGCCCTGGAATACATTAGTGTCAATAATAAAACCTGTAACTTGTATTTTGTTTTTTTGCAGAATGGGGAGTATTCATTACAAACATTATCCACAAGGGGGCACCAGCACAACACAGTAACTCTTAGTGGCTATGAGAACTCAATCAGAGAGCTCAGTTGTTTCAGAGCAGTAGTTAACCAGGTGCTTTCTAGTGATAAAGTTTAATCTTGTAGATGAATACAGGCCCATTGGCAATGTCCCGCCCTGGCATGCCTTGCTGTGCCAGCTGCCACAGCCCTGGCATCCAGGTTTGTTTGTAAGCCCTTTGGGGAAGAGTACCATCTTTTACTCCATTGATAAAGTGAAATGGGGCCCTGACTGGGGCTCTTAGACACGACTGGAATCCAAACAACTATCCCGGCAAAGATTCTTACTGACATCCCAGGCAATGACCATTTTCCTAACAGCTACATACACAACAGAAGAGGGCAAGTGACATTACAAGCAGTGAGGTTGAGAGAGATATTAAAGTTCAAACCATGCTCCCAAATCTTTTCCTCCTCCTCCAGTTTAGGAACGGAAAAGCCACGCTGCACGTGTCTATGTATTTTTCTGCACATACTCTTGTCTCGAGCCAGCCACTTCTTCCTGCCATTTGCTTCTGTTTTAGTTTTGCCAAAGGAAACTCCAAGAGCTCTTTCAAAGCAGCATTAAAAAGAAAAACAGAAAGTCCTTTGTTGCCCTGCTCCTCCTTAGGAGACAGTGTGATGCTTTTATCACAGCAACCCACCAGCGTTCGACATAAGACATGCCTTCCCCTTGAGCACTCTGACTGTGTGCCATGTCCCACTGATGTCAGTCGTCCTATTCATGGGAGTAAGCAGTAGGCTTGGGAGTAACCATTTGCTACACTGGGCCTTAAATCAGGTCTATGGGCCAGATTTTCCAGTGAGCTCAGCATGCTGGGTGCACACTCGGTGGTGCTGAACTCTCGAACATCCAGCCCGAAGTATCAGAACAGGAACGGCTGAGTGCTGAGTGCTTTGGAAAATCGGGGCCCGATAGGGTTCTGCACTATTAAAATCTGGCCCACTCTGAGCAAAAAGGACGATACCTGAAGCAGCACATGGTTTCCTCCACTGAAAAGCCAACAGTATGAATGCAACTGGTATAAAATCCAAGCTAGTCTGCTAGACACAGGAGCTGGTTAACACAGCAGTCTTTGCAAGAAGAGTTTATTACAACATCCAGATACAGAAAGGGTGAGACACAACATCCAACGCATTCAAAACAAACTCCTCCCACCAACAGGTGGCAGCAAACAGAGCACAAGGTCATCTCGTCTAGAAAACATCTCCGTTCTAGCTAATCAGCGTGGGCACCAGTGAAATGGACCAACTTGGCTGAGGGAGCCACGCCCCTACTGTGCTCTTCGGGCCATCAACATTTCTCGGATGTTATCTTCAGCATCCTTTACACTCCGCTCCAGGTACGACTTCCTCTGCTGCAAGGTACAAAATCAGAACAGACTCAACAGCCATATCACCCCACACGATGCTCTGTTTCAGATCAGTAGCAGAATCTCTGCTTTCCTGTGGTAAGTTATAGTGCTGGGAGTGAATCCTACAGAATGGAATCAACATTCATATCACCATAGACAATGTGTGGGGGAGGGGGGAGGAGAGGAGGAGGAAGAAGGAGTCATTTGGGCTCCATGCAAATCACTAGTGAGTCATTTTTAGTGAATAAAGGTCCCAGCATATACTGGTTCATGCACCAGGGCTGTTGAGGGTTATTTTTGAATAGTTTTAATCTTTACTAGATATATTTTAGGCACTGTCATATTTATAGGGAAAACGTGTATTTCATTTCTTTACAGACATCGTATTCACAATTGTCATTACATCAGTAACAAAGCATTAAGAAGAGTGACAAGCTAACTGCAATAAAGTTAAAAAGATACATAAACTTAACATTCTGAGCCTGAAACAAAGGGAAAAAAACAAGGAAAAGAAAAAGTACCTCTGTACTGTTATAAAGTAGCTCTGTATTCTATGTACTCACATCTAAAGAATCAACTGACAAAAACCCACAAGGCCCATAGAATAATCTATTCACACTCAGGTAATACTGGAACATCTATAAAATCCTCTTCCAGCCCAGTCAAGTTTTCACAAATTGGATAACAAAATCATAGATTTTAAGGTCAGAAGGGACCATTATGATCGTCTAGTCTGACCTCCTGCACAACACAGGCCACAGAATCTTACCCACACATTCCTGCGATAAACCTCTCACCTATGTCTGAGCTACTGAAGTCCTCAAATCATGGTTTAAAGACTTCAAGGAGCAGAGAATCCTCCAGCAAGTGACCCGTGCCCCACGCTGCAGAGGAAGGCAAAAAAACCCCATGGCCTCTGCCAATCTGCCCTGGAGGAAATTTCCTTCCTGACCCCAAAAATGGCGATCAGCCGAACCCTGAGCATGTGGGCAAGACTCACCAGTCAGACACCCAGGAAAGAATTCTCTGTAGTAACTCAGATCCCACCCCATCACAGGCCATTGGGCATATCTACCGCTAATAGTCTAAGATCAATTAATTGCCAAAATTAGGCAATCCCATTATATCATCTCCTCCATAAACTTATCAAGCTTAGTCTTGAAGCCAGATATGTCTTTTTCCCCCACTGCTTCCCTTGGAAGGCTGTTCCAGAACTTCACTCCTCTGATGGTTAGAAACCTTCGTCTAATTTCAAGTCTAAACTTCCTTATGGGCAGTTTATATCCATTTGTTCTTGTGTCCACATTGGTACTGAGCTTAAATAATTCCTCTCCCACCCCTGGTATTTATCCCTCTGATATATTTATAGAGAGCAATCATATCTCCTCTCAAAAAGAAAAGGAGTACTTGTGGCTCAAATAAATTGGTTAGTCTCTAAAGTGCCACAAGTACTCCTTTTCTTTTTGCGAATACAGACTAACACGGCTGTTACTCTGAAACATATCTCCTCTCAGCGTTCTTTGGGTTAGGCTAAACAAGCCAAGCTCCTTGAGTCTGCTTTCATAAGACAGGTTTTCCATTCCTCGGATCATCCTAGTAGCCCTTCTCTGTACCTGTTCTAGTTTGAATTCATCCTTCTTAAACATGGGAGACGAGAACTGCACACAATATTCCAGATGAGATGTCACCAGTGGCTTGTATAACGGTACTAATACCTCCTTATCTCTACTGGAAATACCTCACCTGATGCATCCCAAGACCGCATTAGCTTTTTTCACGGCCATATCACATTAGCGGCTCATAGTCATCCTGTGATCAACCAATACTCCGAGGTCCTTCTCCTCCTCTGTTACTTCCAAGTGATGTGTCCCCAGTTTATAACAGAAATTCTTGTTATTAATCCCTAAATGCATGACCTTGCACTTTTCACTATTAAATTTCATCCTATTACTATTACTCCAGTTTACAAGGTCTTCCAGATCTTCCTGTATGATATCCCGGTCCTTCTCTGTATTGGCAATACCTCTCAGCTTTGTATCATCCACAACCATCTCCCCCAAATTCCTAGTTTAAAATCTCTCTTAATCAGTTGTGCCATCCTCCATCCTAGAAGTCTATTTCCCTCCTTACTCAGGTGAAGTCCATCCTGAGAGAACAGTCCGCTGTCCATGAATGCTTCCCAGTGGCCATACATCCCAAAGCTCTCCTTATAGCACCACTGCCTGAGCCATCTGTTGATGGTCATAATCTTGTCACATCTTTGTTGCCCTTCTCTAGGAACAGACAGAATCCCACTGAAGATCACCTGAGCCTCGATTTCCTTAAGCGTCTTCCCCAGCCTGGCATAGTCTCCCTTGATATGCTCCAGTGAGAATCTAGCCATATCATTTGTTCCCACATGAAGGATAATCAATGGATTCTTTCCCGCTCCCGTTACGATCCTCTTCAACCTCAGGGCCACATCCCGTATCTTAGCACCTGGTAGACAGCACACCCTTCTGTTGTCTGGATCAGCTCTTGTTACAGGCCTGTCTGTTCTTCTCAGGAATGAGTCCCCAATCACATAGACCTGCCTTTTCCTGGCAATGGTGCGATTCTCCAGTCTATCCCCTGTTCCATCTGGCCGCAAGTCCTCTCGATTCCTATTGTCCTTTGCAATCCTCTGCAACCCATCCCGTATCCTCCTGGGGCTCATATTTGGTGTTATCTCCACTGACTCTTACCCCCTTCCTACAGGACTATCTGCTCTTCTCTTCCTTCTTGCCCTCTCACCTTCAGTGACTACCTGCTGTGCCCCTTCTTCATTTTCCAACTCCGCAAACCTGTTTCTGAGCTCTATTTCTCCTTCACTGGCCCATCTTTTCCTCTGCCTGGTTCTCTTAGTCACATGCTTCCAATGTCTACTTTTCTCACCCAGAAGTATCCCCTCAGAGTTCTTTGGTCCTGCTTCCATCTGCAAGTCTGAGCTTTTCCCTTCAGCCTCCTCATGTCTTTGCTCCATCATCCGCTCAAACCCCCTTCTAAGCTCAACCAGAGTTTCCATCTGCATCTCCAATCCTCAGATCTTCTCTTCCATCAGCTCTATCAGGCGGCACTTCATGCAGACGAAATTCTTTTCAGGTACCCCCTACAGGATCATGTACATGACGCAGCTTCTACATCCAGTCCTCTTCATTGTGTCTTCCACTACTTGGGTCACTACCACTGCCGCCTCTGTGTCTGTCATAGCCTTCTCGCCTAAGTCCTGTTAGTCTGGGAAACACAAACCAAACCGAGCACCAAAACACTGCCAGACCACCACACACTCCCTTCACTAGCCTCTCTGTTCCTTTGCCTGGCTCTTATTCTTTCCCCCCCAAACCCCTTTACAAACTCCCCTGTTTACAGCTCTGTTTGCTGGCTCCTGTGCTGCTGCAGCTGTCTCTGCCACTGCCTGGCTACCCGTATAGGACCCCTAGTCAGAGAAGTCCCGCCCGCAATCAGGGCTCAGATTCTCTCCCAGCACACTGCCCCTACAAGGCTCTGTACATACCACCTTTTATCCCCTTTCTCGGAGATGCGTGTTCTAGAACTCCTTAGCAATCAGAAAAGAGACTTTTTAAAAAAATCATCGTGAATTAGGCTAAACTTGGCAGGGAAATGGACAGAAACTGTAACCCAGAAATAGGAATTCAGCCAGTAGCATTTTTTCCTCCTCGTCTGGGTAACCCTAGAGGACTGGAGTCACTTCTTTTGACTATTCTCTCTGAGTTTCCAAACAGCAGACACCACTGGCATATCTCCAGGGGACTCCAAAGCCACAGAAAGCATTCTTGTCGGAGTGGACTGAGATCTAAGTACTAGAGGCAGAACTCTAGATTCAAATTCTCTTCATTAACCGGTGCAAGGAAACTTCAGGGAGGCTCCCAAGGACCTTGACTTCCAGAGGAATGTAACACTTTGGTAATTGTAAATTCGGTTTTAAAACCCAAAAGTGACAGGTGTCAATAGCGGTCTTGGTCCTTGTTCAGAGCTGCCTCCCATGCTCTACCCATTCAGAATTAGGGGTCCACCTAGGTGACAGGCAAAAAAAATATTGCCTGTGAGCACCCTTCAGTTCACTATATTGCCTCCAAAACAGATTGTAAGCTCTGCAGGGCACAGGCTGCACCTACCTTTGTGTCTGTACAGAACCTAGCACACCAGGGCCCTGAGCCTGATTACGGCCTCTCAGGACTACATTAAAACACCTATATTACAGGGGTAGCCCATGGACAGAGCTTGACTGACAAGCCAGAGACTCCGCCATAATGGCCTGGGGAAGCTCCAATTCTAGTCAGTTTCCAAGGAAGACCTCGATACCAGCACTTCTGTGCTATATGCATTTGCATTTATTATTACATGTAAATTATAACATCCTGGACCTCACCTCAGAAATCTTTACTCAGGCAAGGAGCCTGATGAGGCCACCTGAGTAAGGGCTTGCAGGGTCAGGTCCACTAAATGCAAGTTAGGGGCCCAGTTCTGTAAGATGCCAAATCCCACTGAAGCCAATGGGAGTTGGAGCTCAGCACCTCATAGAATCAAATCCAAGGGACAACCCACAGCATTGCAAAGTTTGGGACTCCCAGCTAAAAGGAAAAGAAAACCCACTAAGCAGCAAGTCAATGGAGTGTAGTTATCCAACGTTCATCTACACTGCAATGTAAACCTGTGCATGAGCTGGAGCTCAAGCCTAGGTCCCTTTGCATCTACACTGTAATTGCGCTACCCCAGGGTTCCAGGGCTCTGCAGGGCTGGAGAGTCTGAACTCAAGTTAAGCTATGACCTTGGGTCCAAGCCCTATTGCTTTGCAGACAAGTCAAGCGGGACTGCGTCTAAGGTCCTAGGAGTCAGCCGATTGTCCCGTGGAACTGTGGGATACTACTTCCTCAGTCCTCTCTAGCCCATCAATCTGAAATCCACTCTATTGAAAAGGAAAGCCACGGCCACCCCCCTTCCCTTTTGCAAACAGCAGCAGCTCA